TTTTAATTCTTAATAATAGTAATTAGTCTTAAAGTAACTAATATAATATATATTATAATAATATATATAATATAGTTTATAATTATCTTGTATATATAATTATTTTATATACTTTTCTTTTAAATTATAATCTTTTAATTATTATATATTATTATAATATAATAATATAATAAATTCTTAATTTTAAGTCTGAACCTTTTGCGAGTCGTACGTGACTCGTACCTGAACCGCATACAATGCCTCCTCGCTGTGAACGCTAGCATACTAAAGGTGCTGACCCCCCTGCTAGGCCTCTGACGGCTCAGCCTTAAGAGGAGGATATTGTTGCTCAACAGTTAGAGCGTTGTTAAGCAGAGCTACTGTCAGCGGAAGACGGAGTTCTCCGACCACCGCAACTGTTCGCCACGCGCTATCACTCAGAAACGCATACACTCACAAATGCTGCAGTTAGCATTGCAACGCTGATTTATGATCTCCTTCTAGGTGATTCTATAGCTTGCCTCTTCTATGCGTATATATAGCGGTCATCCTACTCCTCAGGAGTTGGGATAGCAACTCAATCAATTCAATTGAACCCTCTCTCTCTTGATACTGCTTAGTATCTCCGTACGCTATTTGCTGCATACTTCTAACAGCTACTACAGAAAAGGCAGCTTAAGAGTATTTAAGAAATCAAGTAAGAGCTCACAGACAGCCTACGTGCGTTAAGCATAGCTGTAATAGGCAAAGATTTTAGCGCTTCACTTATAAGTTATAAGCGAGTCGCCTTTACTAAATTAAGTCACAATATAAAACGCGCCCTTATATTACTTATTTATAAAGGGCTTAGCCTTTGTAAATTATATAATTTTCTTCTTTATTATAATATTTATTTTAATATAATTAAAGAGTATATAATTTATAAACAAATTATAATTATTATATTATATATTTATAATAATGCTTTATATTAGTAAAGCTAGCTTATAATAAAGCTAATAATATAACTAGTATTTAAGTTAGTCTTATAAGACATAATATAAGACCTTATAAATTATATAAGTAATATAATACTTAAGCTAAAAAAGACAAGACAAAGTAAGAGATAATTAGTTTATAATTTTGTAAACTAGATTAAGAAGATTAAAGAGGACATCCCTAAGATGTTATATAAAGAAAGTTATATATAATTATTATTAAATGGCCTGAGAAGAGAAGTCTGTAATAAAGTACTATATAAGGAGCATAAGATTTGCACGTGAGAGCAGATGATAGCTGCTGCTTAACGAATTCATGAGTTAGGCATAGACACAGATGTATTATATATATTTCGTAGTCAGGACTACAGAGAATCTGTAAAGGGTGACTTAAAGAAGGGCGAAGGCTTAGATAACAGAAAGTGTTACGAATATAGTTAGTTAGGCTATATAGTAAGAAACTGCTTAAAGAAGAAAAGCTCTGTATAAGCTTAATTAGGATTCTGTGTAAGCCTAATACGTAGATTCTATATAAGCTACAAGTCGCTTATATATAGCTTGTGAAGTAAAGATAAAGTATATTAAGAGACATATACACAGGATATATAAGATATAAGTCTATTAGACTAGACCTTAAACTTAAGTTTTAAAGCGTATTAAAAAACACGTGTATAAAGTATATAAGATATAGATCTATTAGACTAGACCTTAAATATAAGTTTTAAAGTATATTAAAAAATATATATATAAGATATATAAGATATAAGTCTATTAAATTAGACTTAAAAGAAAATTTAAAAATAATATTTAAAATAAAATAAAAGATGCAAATATATTATAATATTTAATACTTTAGTAATAATATATAAAAGCAGTTTCTTAGACCTATAAATATTGTTAAGCTTATAAAGTAGAGAGGGAAATCCTTCTAAGAAGATATAGCTAGTTGAATAGGAAGATACGTGAGTCGCATGCTTTACACATTTAATACACGCTTGATGAGGTAGTAGTAAGGAGCCAGGAATAGAGACTATAGAGATTAGGTAGCACAATATTCTTTAGTAGGATATTAGACCTTGTAAAGGGCATGTAAGCTATGTGTGTAAACTATGCGTCTTAAGGACGAGTCGCTATTTTAGGGGGGGTAATTGTTAGGCTGCAATTACTTATTAAATAACTCTTCTATATAAAGAGGTCTATATGCTTAACAAGATTAATAAGGCCCTTACAAAACATTAGAAGACTAAAAAAACATGTGTATAGGCTAGAGGTATACTTACTATAAAGGACGCACATAGTTTAATTAAGCAGAAAGAGATTATATAATTGCAGTTGAGTAAAAAGTCAGTAGAAGGGATTATCACGCTAAGTAGGTTATTAGGCTTACAGCATTATAGAAGATGTAGCAAGACTAATCATAATATACAAACCTATCAAGAGGTTAAAGAGACATCTAAGGAAGATAGTAATATAAAGAATAATTGATTTTCTTGTATTATAGCTATATATAATAGTTAGAAGATCATAATATAAGAGAAAAGTACGCAGGACAATTATATATGCGGGACAATTATAAATCACGTTAATATTTATTTAATTATACTTAGTATTCTAAAGAGTAATAATTAAAGTATTAAGGCTTAACTAGTTAAGATAAATCTTAACTAAAAGCTAGGTCTAAGTAGGTTAGTTAAGTAAATCAAAAGGTATAGTAATAGATATAAGTATGTCTTAAACTTAAGAGTAAGTTAATAATATAAGTTGACTACAAAGACTATAAAACTATCTAGGAAATGAGCGTGCTTATATAGGCTAGGAGATTCGTGCTCAGAGTTAATCATCCTGATCACTTCTGATCATTGCTCATGAGTGCTCACTCTGATCACCTCTGATCATTACGTTGTCCAGGTCTGACCAAGTGCGTAGTTCAGGGTCCAGGCCTATTTAAGTCTGTTATAGTGTCTTCGCAGAGTGACAGGCAGCTCCGTAGCGCCTGTCTGTGCTTGGAGTGTTCACGTGCTATAACAATACTAAGGATTATAAGGCTTTGTAAGCTGAATCAGCTGCGTAGAAGTATTAATATCGATTAGTTTGAAGATTCCCCTGCTCTAGATAGTGGATCTGATGATTTTATACCACTCCTTCTAGTCCTTAGGGCCTTCTAGCACCACAAGAGTCTTCTGGATAGCTGTTATTGCTTCAAAAGTGTGTAATGCACTATAGATCTTTGATAACTAAGCGTTCTAACGAATACGCTGCGAAGAGAGGGCCAATTGGATCCGAGAGATAAGATAGAAGTTCCGAATTCGACCAACTGGGTCTATGAGTAGATCTTAGGCTGTGGTCACGTCAACCGGGCTCATAACTGTCAACCTGCTGTGCGGAGTGCGTTCAAATGCAAGTTGATTGATAGCTACAGGGGTAGAGAGCGTCGATCTATGTACAATTGGCTGTACGGAGTCGTGCTTCAAAAGTCATCAATATACGCTAACTAGGATAAGTCGAACTAGCTTTTATTGAACTAACGTACTGCTACTAGGCGGTGGGGCATAAAATGGTTAAAGATGGCGGATGGCTAAAGCTTAGCTGATATTGACCTAAACGGGTCCCTCAGTATCTCTAAGATAAGAGGGTGATAGCAGTAGCTCTAGGGATCCACCCCCTATAATATATTTTCTATGCGCCGCTAAAGCTTAGATCGATTGTACTAGTGACGCTCTAAATTTAGCGTATATTGAAAACTTTTGAAGCACGACTCCGTACCGTACAGCGAAATTAGAAGCGAAATTGCGTTGGAAATTGACTAATTAGAAGCAGCAGAAACACAGGGATTACGCATATTAAACGCGGCCAATTAGCCCTCTCAGAAGGTCAACACAATACTATTTGTACCAGAAGGATAATCTTGTATACAGGTCAATTTAGCAATCTAGTTCGAAGATAAAATCAAGATTTGCATTTGAAAACCAATCTTTATCAGTCTATTATGATCGATTTCTCCAACCGGCGGGGATAGGCTTCGGGCTGAAGAGGCCAAGCCTCCGGGCTTGAATTAGGGCTTCAAGGCTGGGATATTCTCTATGTTACTAGCTTTCTTCCTTACATAGATTAGGCCTCCCGCCTTTTGACGACAGGATTCTGCTACAGCCTTGGCTAAGAGAATCTCGAAGTATTTGCTGTATTACTATATCATCATTGATTTCTACGTTTTCCAAATGATGATTTCGTCGCATTCAAAGTTTTAGCAATCAGTCATATCTCAAGAACTATTCAATGATCCCGTTTTCAAAATTTATAAGTCTGATAACAAGACTAATGCAATCAGAAAGAGAGTAAACAAAAACGTCAAATTTAGTGTTCTTTATGCCAATCTTTAAGTTTTAGCAAGATCATGACGCTAGCCAAGCTAACCCCCCACGAATGCTTTGCCTAACCAGAGTACATCATTTCTAGTCGCTACCATCAAGGACGAAATTTTAGATCCTCTACATTTAACTCTGCAGAAATCTGACTACAAAATCAGACCCTGAACCATCTACACGCTGGAAGAAAAAAAAACCTTTCTCCATCGAGTGAGTCCCTGATACAACCGTCGGGATGGAGGGAAATTCCAGAAAAAGACGGAAGACCAGCTAGAGAACGCGTGAAAAAAGCTCGTGAAATGATGGAAATTTCCCTTGTTGCATCAGCGCGCGTGGTGTTCTACTAGATAAGTAAAGTTGGTGTAGAATAGAATACTTGGCCTGCTGCGTCGAAGGGCTGAAGAAGCAGCTCTCTGCTCTTGGAAGGCGAACTGCGAATTGCTCTCGAGAAATCCTTTCGAGAGGAAGGAATGCATCCGAGAGCAAGTCTGGGTTGACGTTTTAGGGGATCGAATCAAATGGGAATTAAAAAGAAAGGTCCTACTTATAGGCTGGCTGGATGGATTTAGAGAACCTGCCTCGAGTTCTGAATTGCATCTATCATTTTCGAAGCTAGAGTTTGGGTATGCGTCCTTGGCCCACTCGACCCGCAATTCAATCTTCGCGCGGAACCTTGTACATCATGAACTGGTACCTGGTGGCTAAATTTCTAAGAAGATGGGACTCTGGGGCCATTATCAATGGCTGACTTGGGAATAGATTTCGGGCCCCGATTGACGATGCATCGCAGCATAGCCACTCTCGGCAAGCCGGGTGCCGAGTTGCGAGCAAAGCGCCGTCATACTGTCGACGAGGTATCAACAAATCCCACGAAATGCAGCAACTATATACAATTTATTCGTATTGCTTTTCGACGACGAACGAGTCCTCCCAGCACCACGCCCCCTCCAGGCTCGCCCCATAACAATACACACCCACCCTGCTTCTGGTGGACCTTCAATAACGGCGATCATGATTGCCATCCTGAGCAGCTCGGCCTTGATGGCAATCGCCCGGGTCGCACTCGGTCTCTTGGGTGTTGTTGTGCTCGCTCTCGCCGTCATCTCTTACCGCTATTATGCCTTCCGCCGACGCCTACCACCAGGCCCCGCCGGCCTTCCGCTTGTTGGTAACCTTTTCGAGATGCCCAAAAGCCACCCGTGGCTCACTCACACTGAATTGCACAAGAGATACGGCCCCATCTTCAGCATGCAGTACGGCCTGAGTACCGTCATCTACCTCGGCACCCAGGAGGCTGCCCGTGATCTTCTCGAGAAGCGCAGCAATATCTACAGCTCGCGTCCCCGCTTCACCATGGTCGGCGAGTGCATCAGCCAGGGCAATCGGTCCCTCATTCTGCCATATGGCGAGCAATGGCGTGGCTACCACCGTCTGCAGGGCTCTTTTCTGAGTCCGCGTATGTCCAACACCTACCGAGAGCTGCAGGATCTTGAGAGCAAGCAGCTCGTCTCCGAGTTTCTCACCAAGGATGACTTCTTCAAGCGCTTCCACCGCTACTCCTCTAGCTTGACCTTTGCGCTCGCGTACGGCAAGCGCATGCCCACCGGCCAGGAGGAAGAGGTCAAGGGTGTGGAGAAGATCATGGACAACCTGAACAAAGCCTTCATTACCAACTGGATTGTCGACTCGCTGCCCTTCCTGAACCATCTGCCGAGCTTCATGAAACCGTGGAAGAAGATCGCCGACTTCCTTGGCGACGAGGAGCGCGACTTCTTCTACAAGATCCGTGACGGCGCCGCTCAGCGTCGGGGCTACAACTGGTGCAAGGACATCCTCACCATGAAGGAGCACAAGGCCCTTACCGACACCCAGCTGTCGTACGTCATCGGCAACACCTACGAGGCCGGTGCCGACACCACCACCATGACGCTCCAAGTCTTTACTCTCGCCGCTGTGCTGCACCAGGACAAGGTCAAGATTCTCCAGGAGGAGATCGACCGTGTCGTCGGCCGTGACCGTCTCCCAACCTTCGAGGATACCGAGAAGATGCCCTATCTGGCCGCGTTCGTCAAGGAGATCCACCGCTGGCGCCCAGTGCTCCCTGGTGGTGTGCCTCACGCCGTCACGGCTGATGATGAGTACATGGGCTACCACATTCCCAAAGGCGCGACGATCGTTGGTGGCCACTGGGCCATCTCCATGGACGAGGGGCTGTACCCCAACGCCGACAACTTCGAGCCAGAGCGTTTCCTCAAAAATCCCGACCTTCCCTACTCTCAATTCGGTTTCGGGCGTCGCAAGTGCATTGGTGAGTAGATAAACCGCGTTGTCACAACAATTGAATCGCTCGCTGACATGTAGGGCGGCAGGCCAACATATTGGCAACAACTCGATGATGATCAACGTGGCGCGCATGCTCTGGGCCTACGACATCAAGAAGGGTTGGGAGATCGTTGATGGCAAGAAGGTCGAAGCGCACGTCGGCCGCTTGGACTTCTACTCCGGCTTCAACTCGCCCCCGCTTCCATTCAAGGCCGCTTTCATCCCCCGAAGCGAGAAGGTGCCGGAGATAATTCGAAGAGAGTTCGCCGAGACGGAGAAGAGCACCGAGATCATCCTTGAGCGCATCGAGCAGGCTCAGCAGATCCTCAAGGGGGGTGAGCCGACCGTGGTCGCGGTCTAGAAGATATTCAACAGGATGGTGTGTGAGCGAACATTGGCGGACGTTCAGCCGGCCCAAGTGGTGAAGAGATAACGACGATGATGGAGAGACATACGGCTCTTGTTGACGTTAGTCCATGGTGGGCGTCAGAGCAATACATAGTCCAATCGGCCGTGACATTCTTAGAGATAATAATATTCATGAGCCACGTCTCCATGTATCCGTGAAAATGAGCATTGCTGGCCTCATCAAGAAAAGAGTTGTTTTCCTGCAGCTTGCTTTTACAGTATCCAGTCAGGGGAGCCACAGGCATCACGGCTAATTCAGGCTATTCAGGCTTGTTTGAGATGATCGCAGATTCTCGTGAGTGAGCGATTGCGGCTGGTGCCTCTGGCGAGGAAGGGGGGGTGAGAAGCGATACGGAAACGGAACAATGCAGTTCACGTACGTACTACGTAAGTTAGAATACATTTGGCATATTCCACGCACACTTCAGTTGCACACAGCTCTAACATGGATAAATCATGTACTACGAGACAAATCGTACGTTGCTTACTTACAATCTTCTAACGTTATCGCTTCCTCACAATTATTTTAGCAAATTAGGAAACAACTAAAGTTTTTTTTCTGACAATGAAATTTCGAAATTCACCATCCATGTTCGAATACGCCTGGACGATGTTTCCTCTTACAAAGGCGAGAATTACACACCCCGTACCAAGATCAATTCGTTAATGTCTTGTTACATCAATTGTCGTCTCTTGCAATGCGCCGGAAGGCCATGAGCTTTACGTTTGAACATTCTCCGCATGAGCCGGAGTTGGAGCCGGAGCCTCAGCCTTGCCTCGCTGCCACCCAAGCTTGAACAGCGGGCTGTCCTTTAACGTACTCTGATTCCTGGCCTTGAGAGCCTGCTCCAGTGACAGCGCAACCTCTTTCGCGCCTCGGGGCTTCATTTCTGCCTCGTACGCCGCGATGGCTTCCTCTAGCGTCTTCTCTCCAGACGTGACTGTCTTGATAGCGTCGACAATGTCCGAGGCGTCTTTGATCGCGTTGTTGAGACCTTGGCCACGCTCTGTGCAAAAATCAGCCAGTCAGTTATATGCTCTTACTCCAATGAACTTGGCTTGGACTGGGGAATGCACTTACGAGGAACCATCGAATGCGCGGCATCGCCCGCGAGCGTAACCTTACCGCCATAGTTATCCCACGCCATTGTCGGCGCCCACTGCTGGCCTGGGTACACTGGTACGACCTCTCCTTCCGCGAGCTTTAGGCCGCCCGTGCGGAAGGGCTCGCAGAACGAAGACACCCACGACCGGTAGACATTCATCCGCGTCTCCGGATCTTGTAGGTCCTTGGCGTACGGCGGACCCCACCAGCCGACATAGTTCTGGAACTTCCATGTCGTCGGGTCATTGGGGTCGGCGATGTCGAGGGCTACGGTGGAAGCCATGATTAGTAATGTCTCCGCAGAGGTAGAGGACGAGTGTATATGATTTGTACCTCCTAATATGCCGTTGCCTGGCTTATCGGGGTGTGCCGCAATTTTGAACACGGGGTGTAGTGTCTGTAGGAGGCGGGCTTCCTCGGCCGTGTAGCCTCCCTTGGGGAAGTTGATCATGGTAAGGTCCACGGGCTCCAGCTGCGCGGCATCATGGCCGACAAGGAACTCGCGTACCTTTGAATGCGAGCCATCGCAGCCAATAGCCATATTACCGGTTTCAGTAGTACCGTCTCGGAAGGTTACTTGAACGGTATCGCCGTTCACGCTGACTTTGTCAAGATATTTGCCAAACTGAATACGATCAGCGCTATTAGGCCCTTTTCTTTCGCAATAGCAGAAATCGACTTGCCTGGATGGTTAGGTTCTCGCCCTGGGTGAGGAATCGACGCAGCTTCATCCGCGAGATGCGATTAATGCCCTGCATCGGAAACTGCGCCATCAACTCACCGGTGAGCGCGTTGACGTAGGGGACGGGCGGGATGCCGGCCAAAGTATCAAGGTGAGGATCACAGCGAGGCTCCTTTATCCGCGCCCGAAGATGTGGAGGCAGAACCTTTTCCAGGTACTCAGCGCCCCAGTGTAGCAAGATGCCTAGTCCTTCTCGTCAGAAGATGCTCAGGTTTAGGGGAAAATAGGTGGCCGCACCCCAGTCGCGAGGACGGTGGAAGAAGTCATGCTCGCTGTCTCGCTCGAAGACCGTGTAGTTGATGCCAGCCTACTCGATTGGATCAACAGTGTCCTTGGATATTACCATAGTAAGCTTCGTCATTCGTACTTTCTTCAAGCCAGTAGCTAAGGAGAGACCACAGTTTCCTGCCGAACTTTCTAGCGGGGCATCCTGACAGCGTTGTAAGGCTCAATTACCTCCACCGAGGATCAGTACTTTGAAATCACTCGACGCCATATTCGTCCTTCTCTATTGGGACTCCTTCAGAGACATAGAAACCTACATTCAATACGTTCAATGCTGAAGTGAAGGGAAAGGGTCTTTGACAAGGTGAACTGTCGAACAACAGGTGGGACATTAAGATTAGGGACGCTCTCGACAACATGTCCCACCGCATCCGTTGGACGATCTCGCGCTCCGCTTTTCGGATGGCTGAAGTGGTATAGGATTGAAGTCAATTCGGGTTCCGGCAGAGACGTGCGAAAAGTTACGTGGCGCAGCTTCTTGCTGATATGAGCTTCATAACAACTATCAGCCGCATACCACCGACCGACAAACAACTCGACGAACAATTTGTAGCGCTGTTCGACGATCTATAGCAGAAGGACTTTGTCTAGGCTTTGCTAAAGTCTCCCTCCTTATGCGTGTAAAAAGTTGTTGAACGTACGGAGTTGTGCCCCATAAGTAGCGCAACCACGCTAATACCTAGGCCATACCAATAATCGCTAGCATTCACTAGCCTGAGCAGGTAGCTAATGATGTAGGTGCATCATGCCAAAGAAAGCCTATGTGAGCCACTAAAGCTTAGACTTGTCATATATTTTGTTTCTGCGTTTTCCGCAGATTTTGAACGAACACAGCCATTTCTTCATTTTCGATCCAACAAAAGTATATTCTGAACAACGGTGACCTTCTATTGGTCGATTTACTGAGATTTGGGTGGCCTTAGTCCGCGTTTTGATTGGTTGGATTCTGCGCAATGTCCAAGCGGATTTCGTTGTTACGTACAGCCAGTTAGTGTATCTGTACACTCATCTCCTTGATATTTTGGATAATTCAACAGTGCTTTCTCTACTACTTTGAATCCGCTGTTCAACACCTAACCCTGAATCTGACCTTGACTTAGCACATCCTTGAAGCCACACTGAAGTCGCACCGCAGACTCCATAGTTGTTGAAATGGAGGTAAGAAGCTGAAATGGACGGAGCAGCATAGTAGATGAATTACTTAAAAACCTGATCCATGCCGCCGGATGGGAGATTTCTCTCTCAATAACACCTATCCTCCTGAGAGAAGATTTCTAAATGCCATCGCGGCTCTACCCTGCCGTCACCATTTAGCACCGACTGCTACTATGGTGAACCATTGCGAAAGCATTTGAGGACGGCTTTGGCACACTCCGACTACAGTGAGAGCGTTTGGAGCTCTTTTCTGCGCAGAAACTCCTTGGATCGCTGACAATGCGTTGAGAGACGAGGAAGGGCTCTACGGATGCCGGGCCCCGTCCTGTATAGCTCGGCTGAGTCCCCAAGCCGAGCAAGCCTCCCGCGCTCCGGCCTTGATCTAGCTCACCTTACAATTCAGCCAAACGTTTAGATGTCACACGGCAGGACGGCACACCTGTATGTTGCGCTGAGGCTAACCCTGAGGGCTGGTGGCTGTCAGCGATAGGTATATAGGCCCTTCCATCCTGCAGGATACTTTCAATCAAGCCATCTTCAACATCGATATACAGGCCAACAGTTCAGTTGCACCCATTGGATCCACCATGCCTCTAGAGAAAATGGTGCCGACCAACCGGAAGGGCACTGCTGGTTCAAAGCCTCGAGAAAACAGCAATCTCTTTTTTTCACCAACGGCTGGAGCGGGGATGCACACACCTGGCAGTCGAAACTCCGGCTATCTCCCCTCCGGGTATTATGCCTCCACGACTGCAGCACCAGGAGGTGGGGCAGGCAGGACAACCATCAGAGAGCCTGGCGACTGAGGGTCCAGACTGAGACCACATTTAGGGATCTATACTTCACTGAGACATCCAAATCCGAGTCCGCCAGAATCTCTAGATGTTCGATTATTGACTATAGGGTTTAGCGCTAGCGATTTGAGGAGTAGCCTTAATTTATCAACTATAACAGGAAACAGCTGATCTGATGAATACTCCGCCTATACCTTAGCACACAAATATATCTGGACGATTAAAGAGGGAGAGGATAAGAAGGAATTTATACAGAGATTAAGACCAATTGCATGAAGAAGCACTGTTCTGCATTACAAGGTGTTCTTAAGACTTCTAAAAAAATGGTAGAAAGATGCTAATCTATAAGGATTAGAGTTATAGACTATAGATCTAGGTATCTTGTGCTTAATAAATTAATAGACCCTTATTAATTATTGAATTATATATAGTTCTTATCTTATATATAAAGTAATATTTAAGAGTTATTTT